AAAGCTGAGCGCTGAAAAATTGATGCTTTTGAACTGTGGTGTTGGAGAAGACTCTTGAGAGTCCCTTGGACTGCAAGGAGATCCAACCAGTCCATCCTGAAGGAGATAAGTCCTGGGTGTTCATTGGAAGGACTGATGCTGAGGCTGAAACTCCAATACTTTGGCCACCTCATGTGAAGAGTTGACTCGTTGGAAAAGACCCTGATGCTGGGAGGGATTGGGACAGGAGGAGAAGGGAACAACAGAAGATGAGATGGCTGGATGGCATCACCGACTTGATGGGCATGAGTTTGAGTAAGCTCTGGGAGTTGGTGGTGGACAGGGAGGCCTGGCGTGCTGTGATTCATGGGGTCGCAAAGAGTCGGACATGACTGAGCGACTGAACTGAACTGAACTGAATGAAAGAAGTCAAAGATGACATAAACAGAGAGATTTCCCATGTTCCTGGGTAGGAAGAATCAATATTGTGAAAATGACTATACTACCAAATACAATCTACAGATTTATTGTGACCCCTCTCAAATGACCAATGGCATTTTTCACAGAACTAGAACAAAATATTTCACAATTCATATGGAAACACAAAAGACCTGAAATAGCCAAATCCGTCTTAAGAAAGAAGAATGGAGTTGGGGGAATCAACCTTCCTGACTTCAGATTATACTACAAAGCTATGGTCATCAAGACAGTATGGTACTGAAACAAAAAGAGAAATATAGACCAATGGAATAAGATTGAAAGCCCAGAAATAAACCCATGCACCTTTGGGTACCTTATTTTTGATAAAGAAAACAAGAAAACACAATGGGGCAAAGATAACCCCTTCAATAAATGATGCTGGGAAAACTGGACAGCTACATGTAAAAGAATGAAATTGCAACACTTGCTAACACCATACACAAAGATAAACTCAAAGTGGATTAAAGACCTAAATGTAAGACCAGAAACTATAAAACTCCTAGAGGAAAACATAAGCAAAACACTCTCTGACATAAATCAGGGCAAGATCCCCTATGAACCACCTGATCTTCAGTTCGGTTCAGTTCAGTCACTCAGTTGTGTCCAATTCATTGAGACCCCATGACCGCAGCACACCAGGCCTCCTTTTCCATCACCAACTCCTGGAGTCCACCCAAACTCATCTCCATTGTGTCGGTGATGCCATTCAACCATCTCATCCTCTGTCGTCCCCTTCTCCTCCTGCCCTCAGTCTTTCCCAACATCAGGGTCTTTTCAAATGAGTTGGGTGTCTGCATCAGGTGGCCAAAGTATTTGAGTTTCAGCCTCAACATCAGTACCTCCAATGAACACACAGGACTGATCTCCTTTAGGATGGACTAGTTGGGTCTCCTTGCAGTCCGAGTGACTCTTAAGAGTCTTCTCCAACACCACAGTTCAAAAGCATCAATTCCTCGATGCTCAGTTTTCTTTATAGTCCAACTCTCACATCCATACATGACTACTGGGAAAACCATAGCCTTGCCTAGATGTACATTTGTTGGCAAAGTAATTTCTCTGTTTTTTAATATGCTATCTAGGTTGGTCATAACTTTCCTTCCAAGGAGCAAGTGTCTTTTAATTTCATGGCCGCAGTCACCATCTACAGTGATTTTGGAGCCCCCAAAAACAAAGTCTACCACTGTTTCCACTGTTTCCCCATTTGCCATGAATTGATGGGACCAGATGCCATGATCTTAGTTTTCTGAATGTTGAGCTTTAAGCCAACATTTTCACTCTCTTTCACTTTCATTAAGAGGCTCTTTAGTTCTTCACTTTCTTCCATAAAGGTGGTGTCATCTGCATATCTGAGGTTATTGATATTTCTCCCAGCGATCTTGATTCCAGCTTATGCTTCCTCCAGCCCAGCATTTCTCATGATGTACTCTACATTTGGAACCAGTCTGTTGTTCCATGTCCAGTTCTAACTGTTGCTTCCTGACCTGCATACAGGTTTCTCAAGAGGTTCCATTACTCTAAGAACCACCTCTTAGAGTAACAGAAAGAAAAACAAAAGTAAACAAGTGGGACCTGATTAAACTTAAAATCTTTTGCACAGCAAAAGAAACTATAAGCAAGGTGAAAAGACAGCCCTTCAGAATCGGAGAAAATAATAGCAAATTAAACAACTGACAAAGGATTAATTTCCAAAATATACAAGCAACTCATACAACTGAATGCCAGAAAAACAAACAACCCAATCAAAATGTGGGAAAAAGACCTAAACAGACATTTCTCCAAAGAAGACATACCGATGGCTAACAAACACATGAAAAGATGCTCAACATCGCTCATTATTACCAAAATGCAAATCGAAACTACAATAAGATATCACCTCACACTGGTCAGAATAGCCATCATCAAAAAGTCTGCAAACAATAAATGCTGGAGAGGATGTGGATAAAAGGCAATGCCCTTGCACTGTTGGTGGGAATGTAAATTGATACAGGCACTATGGAAGATGGTATGGAGATTCCTTTAAAAATTAGGAATAAAACCACCATATGACCCAGCAATGCCACTCCTAGGCATATACCCTGATGAAACCAAAATTGAAAAAGACACATGTATACCATTGTTCATTGCAGCACTATTTGCAGTACCTGGAACATAGAAGCAACCTAGATGTCCATCAACAGATGAATGGATAAATAAGTTGTGGTACATATGCACAATACCCAGCCATAAAACTGTACACATTTGAGTCAGTTCTGATGAGGTGGATGAACCTAGAACCTATTATACAGAGTGAAGTGTGTCAGAAAGAGAAAGATAAATTCCATATTCTAACATATATATATGGAATCTAGAAAAAGTGGCACTGAAGAATTTATTTTCAGGGCAACAATGGAGAAACAGACATAGAGAATAGACTTATGGACTTGGGGAGAGGGGAGGAGAGAGTGAGATGTATGGAAAGAGTTACATGGAAACTTACATTACCATATGTAAGATAGATAGCCAATGAGAATTTTCTGTATGTCTCAGGAAAGTCAAACATGGGCTCTTTATCAATCTTGAGCTGTGCTATGGAGCAGGAAATGGGAGGAAAGCTCAACCCACTCCAGTATTCTTGCCTGGAGAATCCCATGTACGGAGGAGCCTGGTGGGCTACAGTCCACGGGGTTGCAATGAGTTGGACATGACTGAGCGACTTAACTAACTTAACTATGGCTGATTCATGTTGAGGTTTGACAGAAAACAAAATTCTGTAAAGCAGTTATCCTTCAATAAAAAAAATAAATAAAAAAGATTCTACAGATAGCAAATGTTCAAGAGTGTGTGGAGAAAAGGGAACACTCCTGAAATATTGGTGGGAATGTAAATTGGCACAGCCTCTATGTAGACCAGTATGGAAATTCCTTAAAAAACTAAAATTTGAGTTACCATATTATACTGCAATATGACTCCTGGGCATATATCCAGAGAAAACTCTAATTCGAAAAGATACCTGCACTACAATGTTAATGGCAACACTATTTACAATAGCTAAGACCTGAAAGCAACCTAGATGTTCACTGACAGATGAATGGATAAAGAAGATGTGGTACATGTATACAGTGGAATACTATCAGCCAGAAGTAATGCTACTTGGACTTCAAGGAGATCAAACCAGTCAATCCTAAAGTAAATCAGTCCTGAATATTCATTGGAAGGGCTGATGCTGAAGCTGAAACTCCAATCCTTTGGCCACCTGATACAAAGAACTGACTCATTGGAAAAGACCCTGATACCAGGAAAGATTCAAGTCAGGAAGAAAAGGGGGGCAACAGAGGATGAAATGGTTGGGTGGTATCACTGACTCAATGGACATGAGTTTGAGCAAGCTCCGGGAGTTGGTGATGGACAGGGAAGCCTGGCATGCTGCAGTCCATAGGATCGCTGAGAGTTGGACACGACTGAGCAACTGAACTGAACTGAACTTAATGCAACTTGCAGCAACATGGATGGAGAGATTAACATACTGAGTGAAGTCAGACAAAGACAAATACCACATGATATCACTTTTATCTGGAATCTAAAATATGATAACAAATAAACTTACTTTTAAACAGAAACAGACTTGTAGACATAGAAAACAAAATCATGGTTACCAAAGTGGAAAGGGGATGGGGCAGGGATAAATTAAGAGTTTTGGATTAGCAGACACAAGCTACTGTATATAAAATAGGTAAACAACAAAGTCCTACCGCATAGCACAGGGAACTATATCTAGTACCCTGTAATAAACCATAATGTAAAATAACATGAAATGTATATATATATATATATACACATATACATGTACATGTATACATACATACATGTGTGTATATGTATATATCACATATATATGTCATACATATATATGTGATATATATATATATAACCAAAATATACACCAAAATTTTGTTGTACACCAAAAATTAACACAACATTACAAATCAACTATACTTCATTAAAAAAAAATAGTAAATAGTCAAAGCAAGCAAGGGTCAGCAAACCAGAACCCACAAGCCAAATGTGACCTGTTCCCTGTTTTGGTAAATAAAATTTTATTGGCCCCACATATGCCTGTTTGTTTATATCTTCCTTTATATGAAACAGTTAGAACTGAGTAGTTGCAATTAAAACCATGTGACCTGAAAAGAAGGCCTAAAATATTTATTATCTTGACCTTTACAAAAAAGTTTATTGATACCTCTCCTAGAGAATTAAATAATCTTTGAGTGGGCCTGATAAACCATGTTCCGGTATAATGCTTAATGGTTATGCAATTCACATTTTGCCTTATTGCCAAGTTTTGAATATTCTTCCTAAATACCCCTCTTTGAATCTCACTCCCTTATATCCATTACATCCCTTACATCCAGCACAGGTCTCCCCACTTGGGTCTCACTCATTGATTTCTGCTCCTTCCTAACAGGAAATCACAACTGCTTTTGGAGCCCCTGGAGATCAGGATGAACCATGGCCTGGAAGAATCTGACCACTAACTTTCTTTGTCTTGTGTTTCCCACCAGGCCTGCCTGTCATGTCATCAGCAGATTCACCGGAATGCACCTATATGCCCTCTGTGCAAAGCCAAGAGTCGGTCCAGGAATCCCAAAAAGCCAAAACGGAAGCAAGATGAATGAAGAGAGGGAGAACACTTAGAGCTCTGCAGCTCATAACCCCTCCCCTTGACCAGAGTGATTGATGTCTCCATGTGAAAGAACCCTTCCCCATCTCTATTTAATGTGATAGAAGCACAACCCCCCTCTCACTTTGCTTTTATTTCTTTCTGCTGTCAGAGTTTCTGGTTTAGGAAGAGATGTTGTTCAGGTGCTAATGACAGTTGTGTCTGAAGATCCCTTCTCTCTCACCCACACTTTAACCCCTGTCCTTGTTAGAAGACAAGGGAAGGGCAGAAGTCCCAGATGTGACTATCTGTCTCTTGTTTCTGAGGCCTAGTGCCTAAGGCCTGAGGGCTGAGTAGTCCCATATCTTGTTTCAGGTGAAGGTTCCAGTGTTCCCCCTCCCTGTACTTTTACCTTAGGCTCCAAAGGAACAATATTCTTTTTTCTGGACTTTCCAGTAGGTTCGGTGCATACATCTCCCCCACTCCCACACTCATCTCATCCTCAAGGCCCAGAGGTAGCTTGGACAAGCTCTCCTTTTTGTATTAATTTGGGAGGCCTAGCTGTTTTATTAGAGTTTACCACCATACTGCCCCCTACCCTGACAGTTTCCCAGATATACTAAAGTTCTCAGGGACCAGGCTATGTGTCTGAGGACCCTAAAATCTGTGGACTTTTCCCCAATAATAACTCTAGCTTTTGAAAATTAGTAGTAGATGTTCCCCACAGTGAAATCAAGGAGCCAGACCTACTCTGCAAGTCCTGCTAATTCATTTCCTAAGTCGTTGGTCTGAGGGCTTTGCTATAGGGGCTGTGTTAGGCTGGAGAGACTCCAGGATGACATTTGTGTTACTTTTTGTTCAAAATCATTACTCTAACACTTTACTCCAATGGTGTATCTTAGAGTTCAAAATAATGGGTTGTGATTCAAGTGAATGCCAGTCACTTTACCATGCAGGTATGTGAGACCTCTATTTCAGTCATCTCTCCCTCTCTTGGGTCAGCTCTCTTCTCTAAGACAACTTCAGCTCAGGTCAACTTTTGGCGACTCCCTTTCTGGTGAATAGTGCAGGTGATTTTCCCTCTGAGAAGAAAAGATTCCAGTTTCCCCTAAGCCCTACAGCTCTTCCTCTCAAACTTAAGGGATGGGACGGGGACTGACTGAAAAAATGTTGGCTTCAGTTATCAGGCCCTGGCTGGGGAGGGGAGGATATTTTTCCTTCCTTTCTTAACTGTATTTTTAAGTTACCACAGTGTATGTGTGTTCATAATATATAGAAGGTTCCTCTGCTCTTTGAAAGTAAGAGCATTATGTCTGTACAAATTCTTTTAAATAAACGTTTGTTCATTGGAATAAATGCTGACTCAGTGCTTACTAGTGCCAGGTAATAGAAAAGATGTATGGCCTTTCCCCTTCTGGGTAGCTCTTCTTCACTCTTTTTTATTCCACCCTATAAATAAGAAAATCAGGAACATCACTACATAATAATTTACCCTATTTTTATAATAATTTCCATTTATTCAGTGCCTACTCTGTGTCAGGTCTTTATGTAAGATGCTTTGTATAAATGATTGTATTTTATTTTCAAAACAACATTCAAGCTAAGTGTTCTTATTGCCATTTTCCAAAAATGTAAACTGAAGCTCAGAGAGGTAATCTGTACAGAGTTAAACAGACAGCTAGTAAGAGAAATTTCAGGATTTGAACTCAGATTTGTCTGGTTCCATAGTTCATTTTTTCCCCTACTTTTTCTCCATGGTCATTTTTTAAAGCTCTGCTCCCTTTAGGGATGGCTTTACCACAGGAGTAGTTGAAATAACTCTGAACTAGAAGTCAGAGACTACAAATTCAATGACTGATGCAGGAGCATAAAGGCCTGGTCCCCTATGGAGATATAATAGGGAACACCTCCGAAGGGCCATCCCAGCTTCAGAGCTCCCCATGTGTGGACTGTGGTTTCCATTAAGACCGAGTTGGTAGCTCAGCTGGTAAAGAATCTGCCTGTAATGCATGAGACCTGGGTTTGATCCCTCGGTTGGGAAGATCCCCTGGAGGAGGGCATGGCAACCCACTCTAGTATTCTTGCCAGGAGAATCCCCATGGACAGAGGAGCCTGGCAGGCTACAGTCCATGGGGTCACAAAGAGTCAGACATAACTGAGCAACTAGGCACACATACAGCAGTTCAATAGCTCCTTCTGTCAAATCCTGCCTTTCTCTTCCCCTTTCTTCTATAAGTGTTGATCGCATGGGCGCTCTAGTTAATACTCTGTACATTAAGCTGTACCAGTGCCTTCCAGAAACCCAACAGTTGACAGAAATTTCTCTGGTTTCAGTGTTGTCATCTGGAAAAATGGAAAAAATAATAGTACCTATTTCTGGCATTGTTGAGAGCAATGCCAGGCATGGAGTAAGCACTCAATGCCAGGTATATAGCAAGTACTTCTTCCCCTTGCACCTCTGGCATCAGGTAGGTTGGATGACCACACAAAAAATAATATTTGGGATTTCACTGGTGGTCCAGTTAGTGTCTGCCTGTCAATTCAGGAGACATGAATTCAATCCCTGGTCCAGACAGATTCCACATGCAGTGGTGCAACTAAGTCCATGTGCCACGACTACTGAAGCCCAGGCACCCTAGAGCCTGTGCTCTGCGACAAGAGAAGCCCCTGCAATGAGAAGCCCACAAACCAAAACTAGAGAGTAACCCTGCTTTCCACAATTAGAGAAAGCCCATGCACAGCAGCAAAGTCCCAGTGCAGCCAAAAATAAATAAATAAAAGTAATTTAAAAGAAAAAAAGAAATACCATTTGCCTTAGCTGACATCACCATCTCAGATTTTGTTCAGCTACAAGCCTGCTTTTGAAGTGACTTAAACTCACTCTGTGCAAATGGAGGACACCTGGCTGTGTGATTTGAAGTACACCTTAACCTATATTGGCCTGAGTGGGTCCCTGTAAAGTATAGGAGAAGTGGTTATTGCTCTGCATCTTTGGCACACTGGAGGTCAGATCTGTCAATTCAGTTGTAGCACAAGTAGTCAGGTCAGCCATTTCCCAGGGAACACTTCTGAATGAGAAGGGAACAATCAAATGTTGAGCACCTATATCTTCCAGCCACTGGGTGGGGTGCTACTATTTCATTTAATTTTTCTAACTCATATATCTATTGTTGCAAAGCAATCAACCCAAAAACTTAACAATTTAAAATAGCCATCATCTGTTTGCTTGTGATTCTGCAATTGGAGCAGGACTTGCTGTGAATGGTTTATTCCTATTCCATGTGGTGTTACCTCGGACAGCTTGGCTGAGGCTGAAGGAACAAAGATGTATGTCCCCTCATATCTGGTACCTCAGTTGCAGTGGCTGAAACAGCTGTGGGCTGCCTGGGCCTCCCAACTCCCTTTGTAGTATTTTATCCTCCTTTCTTTCTTCATTGGACATCCCTTTCCAGGTAGAACAGTGAGACTTCTTTTTTAATGTGGCAGCAGTCTTCCCAGAGGGTGAGAACCAAAACTGCAAGGTCTTTTGTTGCATAAACCAGAAATCATACAGCAAAGCTGCTGCTGTGCTCTACTGGTTAAAGCAAGTCACAGAACCAACCCAGATTTAAGGAGTGGGGAAAAGAGACTCTACCTCTTGATAGGAGGAGCTGCATTCATGTCAAAGATGGGAGGAATTGTTGCTCATATTTGCAGAAAACTTACCACATCATCCAACAACAACCTTACATTATGTGTGTCCATTTTTACAGATGATAAAACTGAGGCTCAAAAAAGGGGGAAAGTAGTTGCCCAACAAACAAATAGGAAGGGGCAAAGCCAAAAGGCAAACCTAGGTCTCTCTGCCTTTAAAGCCTGTGTTTCTTCTACCTAAAAGCAGTTATTTAGGTAGGTCTAAGACCTGGTTAGAGGAGAGTAAAGAAAGGAAGAGAAGGAACAAAATACAGTAAAATACAAAGACGATGTGGGTGAAGGAGAGAGAAGGAAGAGGAAAAGAGTAATAAATTATTTGTTATACTGGTAAAATGCTTTATACTTAAAACACCTTCTTCAACATTCTCATTTAATTCTCACATTAATTGCCCTGTACTATTAGGAGAGCATGTAGTATTACATTTTATAGATGAGACCCAGAGAGGGGAACTGACTCACCCGATGTCATTTAGCAAGTTAAAAGCAAAGCCACAACTAGAACCCAGGCCTTCCAACCTGGAAATAACCTGATTTGGGGCCCTCTTTACATGTTTGACACAATGAGGATGAATTGTATACATGCTTTGTGCCAGATGGGTTGCTTTTACACTGAGGATAGGTGCTCACTCCATAGGAGAAGGCCAGGCAATTTTAGCAATTCTGCACTTAAAAGTTTATTTCACTGTTAATATTATGCCTCAGCTTTCCCATAGCAATTATCAGCATCTTTGCAATGATCAACATCTCCCAGGGTGAACTCTGGAAAGTCTGTTAACTCAAGGCCAGGTGCCCTTAGATTAGATACTTAACCTCTCTGGGCTTTCAATATCTCATGTAGTAGTCCTATCCTCATGGTATTGTTGTGAAGATTAAATGAGCTAATAATATATGTAAAGTGCTTAGAACAGAACTTGAGAAGCACTCAGTAAATGATGAGGAAGAAAAGTATAATGATTATGACTGGCTTCCTGGGAGGCCAAAGATGACAATGATGATGATGAGGAGGAGGAGGAGGAAGATGGGTAGGAGGAGGGGCAGGAGGAAGAGGAAAGGAAAGAAGAAGAGAGGGGGAAGGAAAGGGGAGGAGAAGGTAGGGAGAGAAAGGGAAGAGGAGACAAGGCACAGTAGGAAAGGGATTACCCCCATGTAGGGTTTCCCACAGAGGGAAAACTGATAGCTGAGAGTCATGGTTCCTTTCCTGGAGCTTGATGAGATTCCAAGGTTCTGTTGCCACTTGACACTGAGTCTATTTCATGGTTGTAAAAAGACAGAGGCCCCTCATGGGAACTAGGCAGAAGCCCCTCCTTTAATCACATTATTTTC